GAAAAATACCTCCTCCCGTGGCGGGCCGCTACTGTGGCCTGCGTAGCTAGTAAGTATGACGGACACGCCTGCAGCTGTGGCTGTCACGATAGCCACACTCCAAAGTGTGAGACCCACAGACAGTGTTCACTCTGCCCCCTGCAGCCTGGAGTCAGGTCAAATCCCATCCTCAGTAACCCCCACGAGCCACCGAGCCGGTCCTGCCACGGCGCTGACAACGGCGGCATGTAGGGTGCGTGTCGCCCTCTGCCGTGGCAGCCTGGCTTGTTCGGGACGAAAGGGGCCCACAGGCCCAGGGCCGCTTGCTGTGTGCTGGGCGCTGAGGCTGCGCCTGGGGCCCGACTGCGGTGCGCCCCAGGACGGCCGTGACCAGCGCGTGGGGGCAGCCTCCTGGCTCCATTCCGAGGCAGCGCTGACTGCGAGGGGCCTCGGTACAGGGACATACCCGAGGTGCATGGTGCCGGAGGCTCCTGTTGGGACAGCCGGCCTATCGGGCTGAGCACCGACTGTAGGGCAGCTAGAGCGGCAGGCTGGTGCGGCCTGACTCCGTGCTCATCCTGGTCACCGCGATTTAACCTTTGGCATGCTGGGGTCGTCCTGGGAGGCCAGGTGGGGGTGACATCCCCATCACAAGGCAGATCCGGAGCCAGCTGGAGTGACAGGAGCCCGTGTAGACTCTGGTGGGCCACCATGACGACCGGGGCAGTGATGAGTCATGTTGTCCTCAGGACCCACCCGGGGACTGAACCCACATTGCCGGCCTCCGAGGGAGACAAAGAAGCAGAACTCACCAGGCCTTGGGGTGCTCAAGGCCAGCCGCGGCAGCTCGGGCCGGAGCAGGTGGGTCGTGCCTGGTTGGACTTGGGCTTGCAGTGCCCCGGACAGTCCCAGTGCAGACCCGGAGCCCAGGCAGACTCAGCTTGCTTGGCAGCCCTGGGCCTGTGGGGTCGTCACTGCCGTCCCATGGTGCCCATCCTCCCCCACGCAGGGTGTCCGTGTGAGCCAGCAGCTCGCGGAGTCTGAGCCAGGTATGGAAGGGAGCAGATAGACTCGCCAAGAGGAGAGACGAGGCCATCACCGTGCAGCCAGTGGGAGCCCAGGCCTCGCTCAGCACCTGCCTCAACGGCTGAGACCCGAGAGCCGGCTGGAGCGCTGGCGGGAGTTAGCCTGAGCCGAAGGAAATACGGACACCTATAATTTGCCTTTTTAAGGGGGAAAATTATAATCATGTAGGAAACATCGGCATGCCCTCGCCTTTGCCCGTTTTTCTCCTATACACGTGGCACCAGGTGGTCGCATGTTGAAGTCACTCGTGGAGCCGGCTGGAGCCCTGGCAGCTAAGGCGGCCAGACCCACATGCCAGCCGTGGTGTTCGAATCCTGCACCTGCCACTCTAGCACAGCAAGCATGTGTGTGCGTGACCAAGGTCCTTGGGGGCGCAGCGTGGCCCTGTCCACTTCCCCTCTCACTCCCTCTGCCTCTCCGACTCTCCAGCAAGCACATGCGTGGGCTGGCAAATTGTTCAGAAAGTCTTAGAAGAAGTCCCTTGTGTATGTCCGCCTTGTGAACTGGGGTTTTCCAGAGGCAGGGCCTGGGGGCCCGGACGGGTTGGTCAAAGGTGCGGGATTCAGTGAGACAGGAGCAGTCTGGTCTGTGGCCCGGCCTGGAGACCGTAGTTAGTAATAAACAGTAAGTATTTCAGAAATTGTGTAAGACTAGATTTTCGACTTTCACGCTCTGAGAACTGAGTCTGTGAGGCCCTGAGTGAGCTCACTGCCCACTGCATTGTGCCCGAGGTCCGGGTGTGGACGTCCCGGTGTGCGGGTAACACACGTGCTCACTGTCCGTTCAAATAGGCGGAAATGAAGGTCCCTGCATACACGGGCCAGGACCCCGGGGTGCCATACAGAGCCAGCGCCTCCGACCTGCAGAGCCCACGTGGAGGCCAGGTGCCCCGTCCTTGCTGGGCAGCGTGTCTGCTCCGGCCTCCTGAGGACGGGGGAGGCCTCCACTGAGAGTCAGGCTCCTGACGGCACAAAGCACAGCGGACGCCGCCCGCCACACCGGGCGGGGCTTCCAGGCCCCGCAGCCCCCCTG